CCCCAAAACCCCAAAACCCCAAAACCCCAAAACCCCACAAATTTCCTTCAAATAAAATAATAAACCACCCAACATGAACAAACACAAACTCCTCGCAAAATACTCCGAAGACATTCGCAAGTACAACAAAAAAGCTTTCAGCACTCAACGTCGGCTAAAATAACCTGAAATCTCAATTCACAAGAGTACTTCCCTTCTAACCTCTAGGGCTTCAGGAAGATTTCCCTTGACTCAAAGCAAGAAGAAGACAAGGAGAAAGCTTATCAGAAGAAATTCGAATTTTATTATAGAGAACTCAGGAATCAGGACTTTAAGGATGACATAGCGAAGGTGGACACAAGCGAGACTGTCGTTAAGAATGTAGGGTTTGATATGGCAATGAGGAAGGCCACTGAGACCAAGACTGCGAAGGGCGGGTGTAGGAATAAGAGTACGAGGATTAGGAGGAAGAAGAGGTTATTATTGACGGGTGAGGGCAATCCGAGTAATACAACGATGTATCATTTTACAACTCCGAAGAGGAGGTTCCGAGCGGGTGGGAAAAAGAGACTTCCGAGTATTAATCATAGTATGAATCTTGCTGGTAAGACTCAGGAAAGGAGCACTGATAAGTCTGTAAGAATTCCATCAAAGAATTTTGTTTTGAATAATGGGTCTGCTTTTGGAAATGAGGAGGGATCGAGGACTACGAAATTTGGGAAACTTCCAAAGTTACCTGAGAGATGTAAAGCAAAGAAGAACTCTTTAATTGATTTGAAATTAACTTCTAATAATGTATTGAATACTAAGCATGATAATTTTGTATCACAGCAATTTACTCTAGACCCTGATGCTATAATGGATGCTACTAGTAAAGCTGCAAAGGAAAATAAGAATTTAAGTTTTAACCTTCCTGACAATGCAAAATTCAAGGATACTACAAGTGACAAAAGTGAGATACTTAGTAAGAAAGTGCTTTCTGTTAGAAGCATCCCTATGCCTAAAGTAACCCCTTTTGGCAAGTCAATCTCTATTAAGAAACATGGTGCTAAGTTATTCGACGAGGAAGATGAATATTTGTGAAAATGATTCAAAACTATGTGAGGGCAGAATTCAGGTGAAAATATCAGAAATTTTCGTTTGAATCGGATCAGTTTCAAAAATTATCTATCCAAGAGGTACAATTCCAAAATTGCAGAGACAATTGTATCCTGATTTGACTTCTCAATGCCATGGGATCACACTAATTATTTTGAAGGTCTTGAGGTATTCGTGAATACTCCAAAAGAATCCTTGTTGAAGCTGATCTTTCATTGCTTAGATTATAATGGAGATGGCTACATTTCTCATGTAGACTTGTTTATACTCATGAAAACACTGAATAACAATATTTTTGTAAATGTAGCAAGTCGAGATATTGTGGATCTAGTGAAGTTCTTACAACAAAAATTGAAAGATAAAGGACTTGATGACCCTGTTGAGTGTGAAAAGCGTCGCCTGGCAAAGAATCTTGTAGAAAATAAGAATTTTAAACGCAAACAATCAGCTGATAAAGAATCTCCTAAGGACGATTATCAATCAGACAGTATATTTAAACTATCCGCGCTAGAAAAAATGGCTAATATTGTTGAAAAATAACTCCCAGCACGAAGTCAATACAACAAAGTTGCCTAAATAGCACAAAAATTGAAGACCCTCCTATTGAAGCCATGGACATAAAGAGACCTAAAAAGTTTGGCGTAAGAGATATCTCTTATGAAATCTGTGAGAACGATGAAAGCACAATGAAATGATCTCTAGAGGAGTACCTTACATACCTCACCACAGGAAAGCTTCCTGATTTATTAATAGATGTATTCATCTACCTTGGTGCAAAAAAATATGTAGAATATGCTATCGAAGGTTCAAATAAAAAGAACCTAAAGGGAATGGACTCAGAGACCCTCTCAGCACTTGAAAGGAGAGGGAAAATAAAGCGACAATCTACACTTAAAATTGAACGCGATTTGGATAAATGGAGAGATCAACTTGGCGAAGAGACTGTTGATGACTTCTGATCTGCTTTTGCAAAGCTTTGCAATGATAAAAATAAATCAGAAAGTGAATTAAGCATCAGTCTAGAGTCTGTAGTAGACAATTTTGAAGGCATTTTTGGAGTCAAGAATGACTTCTTGGCTAAGTGTATTTACTACTTCCTAACAGGGGGGTATTTGATGAAAGATATCAGGATTACTGACTTTATTGAGAAGTTTATGTGTTTTGGGACAGGAATGAAGAGAGACTTTTATAATTTTATATTTAATTTCTTTGATGTTAACAAGGATAATCAAGTCACAATGATAGATTTATTATTCTTTTATACCTATTTGCCCAAAAATACTCAATTTGGGGCTGAAATAGCTGATTCAATAGAGTTGTTTTCTAAAAAGTTTATTATGGCGAGGGGAAGAAGACCAGCTGAAATGAATGTTGAGGTATTCCAGCATTTGTTTCCAGAACTTCCTTGATTTGTTACTGAAATTATGAATAAGTTATTCAAAAAATCGCAGACAATAGACATGAAGTCATTAAATACAGTGAAAGGAGTAAAATCAGCACTGATGATTGACCCAAGTTTGGACTCAGAGAAGAACCCAGATTTGTTTTACTACAATTTTGATGTTGATTTCTCCATGAATTCTTACCATGTTGAGAAGCCTTTGAAGAGATAATTATTCAATATATTTATTTCTAACAGGGGTTTTGGGGTTTTGGGGTTTTGGGG